GAATATACTAGAAACTAGGTTATTCTAGCGAAATTAAAACTGTACTTTAATTATAAATAAGCTATAAGAATTAGACGAAATAGGATTAATGGCTATTATTTTCTCTTTTTTCTTTTCTATATTATAGCTAAATAATTCCCTAAATAAGAGTATTTAGACTTCTCTTTAGGAAAGAAATAATATAATAGCTAGTATAAGAGTATAATTTACTAAGGACAGGATATTGGAAATAGGTATAAAATAAAGCTAAGCCGGAATTACTTGGACGGAATAATACTAAAGATTAAAATATTCTTTCTATTTTGTTTTATAGCTTAGTATTTTCTAATATATAAGATTCTTTAAACTTTAAGCTTTTAATTATTATATTAATCTCGCCGTTATATTATTTAATTAGGCTAGCTTATTATATATATATATTACATATATATTAATTAGATTATTTATAAATATTTATAATAAATCTAATTAATATATAAATAGAATATAATTAATAGATATTTTTCGTAAATAGATTAGATTAATAGCTATTAATCTAATCTAATCTATTTATTTCTCATATTATTTGGCCTTAATATATAAGTTTCTAAAATATAGAATTAATTTAAAAATATATATATTAAGCTCGAGAAAGCCCAAAAGTTAATTAAATAGCTTAGAAGAAATATAACTAAGCTAAATATTATTATTCTAATTAAGAAAAAAGGCAAGTAAACTATTATATTAAAGCCTGCCTTAATAAATAGATTTAATCTATTATTTCTATTTAAAGATTACCTAATAATAATAGTTCTAATATTAGCTATAGCCTATATAGTATTTCTAGATTATATTATTAATATAAGTATAAGTATAATATAAGTAATAAATACTAAGAACTAGCCGGAATATACTAAGAATTAGGTTATTTTAGTAAAGTTAAGATTATATTTTAATTATAAATAAGCTATAAAAATTAGATAAAATAGAATTAATAATTATTATTTCTTCTTTTTTCTTTTCTATATTATAGCTAAATAATTCCCTAAATAAGAATATTTAGACTTTTTTTAAAGAGAAAAGTAATATAATAGCTAGTATAAAAGTATAATGTACTAAAAACAGGATATTAGAAATAGATATAAAATAAAGCTAAGCCGGAATTATTTAAGTAAAATAATACTAAAAGTTAAAGTATTTTTTCTATTTTATTTTATAGCTTACTATTTTCTAATATATAAGATTCTTTAAACTTTAAGCCTTTAAATATTATATTAATTTTATTATTATAAATTATATAGCTTTTAAAAAAATATTTTATTATAAATATTAATAAAAGAAAAAGAATTATTTAAATCTAATAATTCAAATATATTTTTATAAATATAAATAAAAAAAATAAGTTTTATATATTCTTTTTATTATTATATTATAAATATATATTTATTAATTTTCTAAACTATTATAATAATAATTCCTTTAAAAATAATAAAAATTATTTCTTTATTTAATATTTTCTTAATTATTAAAGAAATATATAAAGAATATAATATAAAAATAATAAGATATAAGCTTTAGACCTAATTAATAAAAGCTATAAATATATAATATTATTTTATTAATAGAAATTTATAAATATATTTATTAAATAAATTATAATAAATAATATTAAATTTTATAAAATAACTTTTTCCTGATTTAAATATATCTTTAAAATTATTAATATATAAGTTATAAATATTTTACTAATTATTTATAATATAATAGAATTTTAGATTAATAAGATATTTTATTATTTTAAACTAGAAATTAAAAAAGAAATTCGAATAATAAAATTATAAATATATTATATTTTTAATAATTAAAAATTAAAATATAAGAAAATTAGTATTATTAGTATTATTATTATTAGTTTACTAATAATATATAGTATTATTATATAAATATAGAAATACTAGTTATATTAGTTAGTAAAGTTATTATTATTTAGAAATAGGAATTATAATATTATAATATTAATATATAATTCCTAAATTTATTAAACTTAAAAAAATCTAGTTTATTAATTAAGTTATTTATAGAATATAAGATTATATAATTATATTTTATATTTTATATTTTATAATTATATATATAACTTCTAAAAAAAATAACTATATAAATAATTATATATATAATTAATTATAAAAGAGAAAATATAATATATTTAATTAGATTATTAGAATTCTTTAATTATAAGAAATATTATATAAAATATATTTTTAATTTTATTATAGAAACTTATTTATTTAAATAAAATAAAACAAATTAGAAAGAAAATTTTATTAAAATAAAAATATAAAAATAAAAAAAGCTAGAAAAGCTATATAAAGTAATTTTAATATTAGTAATATTTTAAATAAGTAATAAAAGCTTATTCTAGATAAGAAAATATATTAGAATTTAATATTATATATTAGTTTTATATAACTTATATTTATTTAGTTTATTAAATATATTTGAGCCTTTAGCTTTCTATAATTAATATTATATTATATATATATATGTATTTATTATAATATTTAATATATTTAATAATTAGACAAGTTTTTAAATTAAAAGAGGCTCTAAATATCTATATTAATAATTTAAAAGATTTTAATAATTTTAATAATTTTAATAATTAAGAGATTTTTTAAAAGAATTATATTATTATTACTAAATAAAAAGCTTTAAAATTATTAAAAACTAGCTTAAATTGCTTTTCTAATTAACTAAGGACTTTAAAAGCAATTATAATTTAAAAAAATAAAATATAAAAGATATTATATAATATTTTATAAAAAGTAAAAGCTAAAGATTTTAATAAATATTCTAATATTTAAAGCTTAATTACTTTAGCTTAAAATATTATAATATCTTAATATAAGAAAACTAATAATTCTTTTATATAAATAGTTTTAATAATTTTATATACTCGATTTAAATTTATTTAATTTAAATAATATTAGATATTATTTAGGGAAATATATATTTTTAATTTAATTATAAAAATTAAAATATATAAGTTTTAAAGAAAAAAATACAGAAAAAATAATAAAATAAATTATATTAATTATTTCCCGGAATCTAAAAAATAAATATCTTATTTAAAGAATATATTAAATCAAATAATATCTTTAAATTTATTATATCCTAAAAGGCCTATATATTTAAGAAATAAGCTTTTCTTATATTTAGATAAATCTTTAACTAATTTTTTAAATATTATAAAATATTAGAAAATATAAAAGTCTAAATAGTTTTATTTTATTAAAATAATATATGATTTTTTTAGTATTTTTATTATAAGCTCTAAATATAAGCAAGTATTTTCTTTTTATATAAAAATAACTTCTTTTAAGAATTCTAGACTATTAAATAAAAGCTTATAATATTATAAATAGTTAAAGAACTAATAAAGAAAAGAAGTAATTTAAATAGAAATATTTAGAAATACTATTACTCTAAACCTGAAATAATATAAATTTTATTAAAAAAATATTTTTAACTAATTAGCTACTAATTAGCTAAATTAGCTAAGCTAATTAGCTAGCAAAATACCTTAGATAATAACTAACTAACTAGCTTATTACTCACCCTGCTAAATAGGCTAATTAGAGAACGTGACTAGTTAGCCCAAGAGGTTTTACATCTTCTTTTAAAGCTTCAGGTCCAGTACTGCTCTCGTAATACCGTGAATCTCGACTGCCGCCCAGAAGAGCTCTATAGTGTCACGGATCGTACGGTATTCACTTGGACTCGTCATGTGACTACGTGGCCTTAGCGCGCCAGGAACCTTAAGCGAGCGTACTCTACGTGTCTTTAGTCAGAGACCCTCCCTTAGAAATCTCTTCTTTCTTCCTTAGTTTAGAATCGTCGTAATTGAACTAGTTCAGCTGCGCCTTTATAGGCCTTGATCTTTATATTCGTGACAGTAATAGCTGAACTTTATAAGGCATTGGCAGGTCATCATAGTGCTCTAGTTGACTTGTATAAAGAAGAGGCACAAAGGTTAGATGAGGACTTTGATATTGAGTGATTTCGGGTGGTTTACAAGTATATTATAAGAGAATAAAGTCTTTTCAGCCCCGATATTCTAAGCTACGCTTTTACTACTGTGAGTTCAAACTCGCAGCTTAGCAGGCCCTACCAAGGCAGACTTATATCAATAAGCCCTACCCAGGCTTTGTTTTACATTTAATGACCCCTGTAGGGAATACTCGCAGACGCCAGATCACTTGATCCGTTTGTCCGAGAGACTTGAGGTAACACAAAACCGCACCTTGCAGCGCCTCAGTCTGCAGGCGAGCAACTGATACCGAAGCATCAATATGATTAGTGCAAGAGGCGGGAGGTTCGATCCCGTTTGTCGGACATCGACAATCACGCTACTTTTTCTTCGGAAGTTGAACCAAAGACTGACTGAAATTGAGAGAACTTCACATCGACGGCCAGGACCGTAGTCAAATGTTGTGAGTTGTTCGAGTCGTGACCTGTGAACCGCGTGGTCCCTAAAATCCGAAGCCGTCAAGCCCTGAACTCGGCCCGAATCCATGGGCGGACGGCAGCACCCGGTCGTGGCGAAGTAGTTGGGTCGAGAAAGTAACATACCGATCCAATACCGTGCAGAACCGAACTTGACTTGTATTGAGTTCCGACCAAAATTCGGGTGAGCAAACGGTTCACCGTTCCAAACGGAGGGGAGGTCTTTCCGGAGAAGAGTGTCGGGCCGCGTCCGGATTCCCGATTAGCCAGGCACCGGGACTAACATCCGGGTGAGACCCGGACTCATCGGACAGGGGGTAACCATCGAAGAGCGGTAAGCGAGAGCGAGCGTGGTGATGTCAAGACTGCTGTCAAGACTGTTTCTTTTGGTAACACATCATCCATGAGCCGAGATGACTTCGGATCGCTTCGGGACACTCTATATCGCGCAGGCAGAAGAACTCAAGTGATGCATGGGAAAAGGTCGTTGCCTGGTCCATCAACCGAGGGCGACCGCGAAAAAGATGAGATTAAATTTGTGACAAGTAAAGGACCGGGTTCGATTTTGTAAGGACTAGCTCATGTAATGACTGACTAATAGACTGCAGAGATGACCTCCCGAGCCTCCTCCAACCTTTACCTTCACCTTTTCCTGCACCTTTGCCAGTACTTGGGTCATTCAGCCCAGCTTCACCCACACACCTTGGTTCACGAAGCAGGTGATATTGAGCTTCTCGGTCCACTCCTGGGGCGGATCCGGCCCTTTGAACACCGAGTACTGCTGCATGAAGCGAACGAGGACGTATCCCGCCCCGACGAGCGCAAGCTGCTGGCCTAGGCGTCATAATCTGGTCAGTCCATCCCTCGGTTGTGTTTGTTATACACTGAGCGTTATAGAAGACATGTGTACTGACCGAGACAGATCCGAGGTCCGCCACTAAACGGAATGTAATTCCACGTTGGCCTCTCCTTCTCCCAACGCTCGGGCTTGAACTCGAGGGCATCGTCGCCCCATAGATCGTGTCGTCGATGAAGCGAGTAGGACGAGAAAGAACACTCGCGGCCTTTGGGGATAAAGACAGGTGATCGTCCGTTCGGACCGCCGCCCACGGGAAGAACCGTGTCCTTGTTAGCCACGCGCAGGTTCTGCGGCACGGGCGGGTACAGCCGGAGCACCTCCTTGATGACCCAGTTGAGGTACTTCAAGTTCTTGATGTCTTCGTACGCGGGCAAGCGTCCGCCGAGCGTCTCGGATATCTCGACCCGCAACCGTTCCTGCACGACAGGGTATTTGGCGATGCAGAAGAAGAGGGTGCTAATGAGGGCAGCTTCTGAGCCTACCGCTGCCAAAACTGGAGTTATAAACTATTAGCATCACATCATGACTAGATACCTGGATTAGCGACGCATGCATCGAAAAACTTACGCATGTTTAGAACATGATCACGGATCTGCTCAGCAGGCATGCCTTCGCTCGCCAACGCCCGAGGAATCGTGTACTTCCCATCAGCCTCAATGTCCCCGCCTTCCTTATGGCTCGCAATGGCCTCGAGCACGATGGGGTCGACATGCTCATGAAGAACTCGACGCGCCTCCTGGAGCTTCGTATCGTGCACAAGGAACGACAACTTGCCCGCGCGCAGGCGCTCCGAAATCATGGTGTTGGCCCTGTCAAGCGCCCACAAAAAGCGGCGGCCCACGTGCGCACCATGAGGACGCAGCACGTCGAGCGGACGCCCAGACAGCAGCTCGGTGCCCACGTCGAGCGTGAAGCGCTGCACCCACTCCTGCAGCTCTACAGCCGAGCCGGCAGGCACCTGGTCCTGGTCCTGCATGACTTCGAACCAGACCTGCAGGTGCTTTTCCCAAGGCGACGTGTCGCTGAAATAGGACCGCGTGAGCTGCGGCCGCGACACCGCCCGCGCGTGTACCCAGTCTTGCCCGTCGGCGCTAAAGATGCCTACGCCAACGAATTCAAAGGTCGCCCAGCGACGCCGTGGGCCCATGTCCCTGAAGTCGACAGAGTTCCACGGTCAGCGAAGCTCGATTAATCATTACGTGAGAGGAGAGTCTGATTTCTGACGCACCAGTCGCTAAATTTGGTTGCCAGTATGGCCTGGATGTTCTCCGGTTCGCAGGTGACGTGCATCAGGTTGCCCAGGAGGCCGACCTCAAACGTGTTGCCGAAACGTTTGAACATGTTGTCGAAGTGCTCCAGGTTGCGACGGCTGCGCATGGCCCTGTGGAGCGCGGTGGCGTGTCGAAGCCCCAGGAGAGGGTCCCAAGGACTGGCGTGGGGAGCCGGCTGGCAGCCATTCCTGCGTCGCCGTCGATACAGGTCAACCTGGACATAGACCAAGTAGGCTAGAGTCCAGGCGATGGCCACGGGCAGGATGATCAAGGTCGAGTTCATGGCGATGGCTGACGAGTCTTGCCCTCTCTGTAATGATTAGATGGTTGGGTGTGCACCAGTAACTTGAGGAATTGCTAGAATTCAATCTGTGTCAGTCATGGACTGCTAGAATCGACTTTGAGTAGTAGCATGGCACAGTAGCCAGCCTCCTTCGACTCGGCGGCCCCTTTCAGAACTAATCATTATGGCAGTCAGCTCGGAAATCCGAGATGGCCACGTTCGGTCGCAAGTCGGTCGCAAATCCGAGTCGGGAACATGAGGCCTTGAAACGGCCACCGACTTTACGGCCGAGAGATGGGTCGATGGCGACGGACGAGCCCGACAACGGGTTCTATCTCTATCGTTGATGCGTTGGCTTATATTTACCAAATCTATGTAGCATGCAACGTCCAGATTAGATTTGTGTCCCTGCACATCATTACGATCACTATGTCCTTGCCCTCGCAAACCTCTGTTCTTGTAGTGGGCGCCGGACCGGCCGGGTCCTACGCCGCCTGCGTGCTCGCACGCGAGGGCGTCGACGTCGTGCTTCTCGATGCCGAAAAGTTCCCCAGGTACCTCTAATCATTACGTGCTTTAAACAAAAGGGCAAAGCTAATTTTTGGAATTGAAAAGATATCACGTTGGAGAGAGCATGCTCGCAGCGATGCGGTTCCTCTTGCGGCTCATTGATGTCGACGACGAATTCGACCGGCACGGCTTTGAAAAGAAGTACGGGGCCACATTCAAGATCACGGACAAGAGGGAAGCATGTTAGTTGCCCCCGGCTTCGGCTGGCCTTGTTTTATGCTACCACAGGGAGAGGCAGTACAAAATGACTTACTAAGGTGGAAACACCAACCCACAGTCACCAACTTCGCGAACGCGCTCGGCCCGGGCGGCCACTCGTGGAACGTAGTCCGCTCCGAGTCAGATGATCTCTTGTTCCGCCACGCCGCCCGCAACGGAGCCAAAACGTTTGACGGCACCAAGGTGGACGTAATCCACTTTCAGCCCTACCCGCACGACGGTTTCGAAGCCGTCGAGGGTGAGGGTGAGACGGAGCCCGCGCACCTGGCCAATCCGGGCCGGCCCGTATCGGCCGACTGGTCGTGCAAAGACGACGGGACCAAGGGCACCATCAAGTTTGACTACCTCATCGACGCCAGCGGGCGCAACGGGATCCTGTCCACAAAGTACCTCAAGAACCGCCGCTTCAACGAGGGCCTCAAGAACCTTGCCAACTGGACGTACTGGAAGGGCGCCAAGCGCTTCAATCCTGGCCAGCCCAACGAGAACTCGCCCTTCTTTGAGACGCTCGATGACGCGAGCGGCTGGGTCTGGGCCATCCCCCTGCACAACGGCACCTTGTCGGTCGGCATCGTGGCGCGCCAGGACCTCTTCTTGGCCAAGAAAAAGCAACTCGGGCTGTCCGGCCAAGAATTCTACCGCGAGTATCTCAAGCTGGCGCCGCAGATCAGCGACATGCTGTTGGACGCCGAGATGGTATCGGACATGAGGCAGGCGTCGGACTGGTCGTATAGCGCGTCGGCCTACGCGGGCCCGTACTTCCGCATCGTCGGCGATGCGGCCGCCTTTGTCGACCCCTACTTCTCGTCGGGCGTGCACCTGGCTTTGACCAACGGTCTCGCGGCCGCCGTGTCGGTGCAGGCGTCGCGCCGTGGCCAGGCCGACGAGCGCGCCGCTGCTAAGTGGCACGGCACAAAGGTCGCCGAGAACTACACCCGCCTGCTCCTCATCGTCATGGCGGTGCAGCGCCAGCTGCGCCTCAAGCAGGAACAGCTCATCACCACCGACGCAGAGGACGGCTTCGACGCCGCCTTCAAGGCTATCCAGCCTGTCATTCAGGGGGTCGCCGACACGCACGAGACGGACGCGCACGTGCAGCAGCGAGCGGTGCACTCGGTCGACTTTACTCTCAACTCGTTTGATGTCACGCCTGAGCAGGAGAAAGCCATGGTGGACAAGGTCGTGGGTGCCGCGCGGGCGGCGCCCGAGACGCTCCAGAGGATGACGCCCGAGGAGGTCGACATTCTGAAGCGCATGAGCCATCGCGTCTTGCATCGGAACACGACCCAGGAGAATAGGGACCTGGCGGGTTTTACAGGCCAGGTTATTGATGGGCTGGCGGCGAATCTGGAGCGTGGCGATGTGGGCCTGATAAAAGTACAAACCTAGTTCTGAAGGTACTTCAAGCAGCACTCTACTAGGCGGTTGCCCACCACAATTGTGCTATTGAATCTGCGGAACGGCTTCTCTCCTATTGTTTTTGTATGCAACTTCACAGCTACATTCTATAAAGATCTCCCAAGCAAATAAAATGAAGACAAATAAAGGCACGCAAATGGCGAGCCAGAAATATAACTTAACAGCCCCGCTATTCTATATTTAGAACTCTTTGGGAACCTCTCTAACGATAGCCTCAAAGTCATGTCCGTTACGTTACTGGACTCGCTTAAGCCTTGGCACATTTGGTGTCTAACACCAATTGGTGTTTACACACTTTTTGATTTTGCACACCTCTTAGTTTCTGCACATTACTTGGTTTCTACACATCACTTGGTTTTTGCACACCATGTGGTTTCTGCGCACTACTTAGTGTTTACAAACCGCAATATTTGGTTCGTACCGATGCCGAATTAGAACCCAGCAGCTTTTAATAGAACTACCGTATTATCTGGTGTATATGACCATGGTCTTATAACCCGTTCCACACCTAAATAATTCGTCAGGGAATGGTCCTAAGCCTAAGAGGGTCTAGTAATACGTCGACCCCACTAAAAACCGCTTAGTGTATGGTGTTGTGCTTACCCCTAATTCCTCACCCCTTTATTCCTCTCTCCCATTCTCCCTCCTAAACTCCGACCCGCACCACCAATTGCTCTTGATATTACGTGCCACAAATTATATACATTGAGAATTAGCTAAGAAATCTGCTAGAAGATTACTTGAATTACCTCAAACTAGCCAATTAAGCAATAGTTTAGTAATATAAGACCATGGTCTTATATTACTAAGCTATTGCTTGAGGAATTACTCTGGAAATGGTCTTTTATTTGGGGGTGGTCCTGAACGAGGGGGTGGTCATATACGCCAGATAATACGGTAATCAGGTCCCAGTCATTAATATATAAATTCTCCAGGAGATGATTTAAAGCATATACAGTATCTCGAATGCCTCGTTTCTTCTTTACCTCTGAGTCCTTAATCTTCTGGGCATGGAGGTGCGGTGCAAATGGATATGCAGCATGAAGGTTAAAGAGGGTTAATAGAAAGAATTACTATTTTGCGTCACAGGCGATCATAATCTTCCCCGCTCGGCATCTGCTTCTCCCTCTGCTTCAATATTCGATTAGCGTCGGTGCGTTTTTTGAGAATATTCTCGAGGATGTTGAAAGTACGCGCCACTGGCACTTGGATGGTGGGAGCCATGATCCTGTGCAGGCCTAAGAAGTCTCAATGGCAGTGAGGATGTCCGCCGCCGAGAGCGAGGAAGGGAGGGGGGGGCCTTCGAAGATGGGATATGACAGTGGCAGAGTCGTGATGGCGTAAGGCGTGGACGGTAGCGTTGTCGAATAAGGACTATGCTTGACGTTGAAGGCAATCAGTCCTGACTTCTGCCCAACTCAATTAGATTTGTGCGTCCCTCTGCGAGGCTATTTTCGCCGAGCCCGATGACGGATGGACAGGGATGGTCGCCGACGAGCTCGCCCAACGCCTACTGCGGTCTGCAAGTCTGTCACGTAACGCACTTGTCGCAGAGCCGCAAGAGCTGTGCGAGCACGGGACTTAGAATCGCACGTGCTTTTACGTAAGCATCGGAACGCTCAGCCTATATAAGCAGAGCTCCATTCTTCCTAGAAAATGGAAGACAATCATTCCTCAATTCCAACAACCGTAAGGGTTGCTCCACTTCTACGTGACAGCACTTGATACCAGAACCTTGGAAGATTTTCGCTAACATTCCGGCGTCTACGGTCTAGGTACATGTATCTGACATATTGGCTAGTCTGAATCGTCATCAACGGGGTGGCATCGTCGAAGAAAGGCCATTTCTATCGCCATGCCCGGTCCAAAAGACACTGCGACAATGTCGTCCTTGCCTCCTTCAGCCTTCCTCAGCGTGTCCAAAACAATCAGGACCGTCGGGCTCGACGAGTTTCCGCGCGTCCGGTATATGTGTCTGGTTGCAGACAGCTGCGCCTCGCTCAGGCCCATTGACTCCTGCACCCCGTTGATGATGGCCTTGCCCCCTGGATGCAAAGCCCAGTCAAGGTCAGCAGCCGTCGCATGTGGAAGCCCGGCCTTGTCGCGGAACGAAGGCAACAGCTTCGAAAACATGGGTGCCACCGCCCCGGCTGACTTCGTCGCTACGTCGCGTGTCAAGACGATCCGATAGCCCGTCGGACACAGGTCCCAGCCCATGTGCTCCATTGTGTTCGGGATGGTTGAATTGTCCCAATCGATGAGCTGAAAGAGAGGGCCTCGTCCGCTGTCTTGCAGAAGGCCAGCCTCATTGCTCAGCACCAATGCCGCCGCACCATCCGAGAAAAGAGCCGCGGCGATGCTGATATCCTCCGGGCTCGTGCTGGCCTCAGCGTCAGCTAGTTCTTGCCTCGCGTTGGTGGTGCACAGCTCGCAAGCAAACGCCAGGATCCGCGCTGGTTTTTGGCGTGCTGTCGCGCCACAGGCCAGTTGAGCGGCAACGCGCATGATGGCAAGACCGCCCGCGCATCCCACACCCGCGAGGAGTACGCGTTCCACCTCGGGCCCGAGACCAAGCCTTTCTGCCACGAGCAAGTCGACGCCTGGGTTCCCGTAGCAAGTCGTGGTGCAGGCGACGACATGAGTGATTTCGGACAGCGCACCACCCCACTCCTTTAGCGCCTTGCGACAGGCCTGCGCAGCCAGGTCAACGCCTGCCTTGTGCCAGATGGCGTTCAGATCAGTAATGGACGGCATTTCAGGACGATGCAGAAAGGCTGAGCTCGAGCCCATGTCCTGGATGCACGGCCTCTGATCGATGCCGGAAGCTCGGTTGACCTGCAGCAACTTCTTGAGCCTGACCAAGGACGCTGAGGTGTCAGTCATTTTCTTTTTTTCACCCAGCATTCAGGTGTGGTGGCAAGTGCGTCTTACCCAGGTCTTTCGACGTCGTAGAAGCGCGTGGCCAACTCCTCCAGACGTTCAGGCCCACAAAGGTAAGCTGGATACTGGTGACCCAACCCCGTGATCCAGAGTCCAGATTGCCCACATGGCTCGTGGGTGCCGTTGCCGTTCATGATCGCCATCTTGTTGTGCTGATGCCTGATGCCGTGTGCGCTGCAGGCCCTTGTGTTGTTCGAGTACCCGGCCTTTCTCGACAAGACTGGCTTTCTACATGAGGTTGCTCAACTCTACACAAATATTTGCAACACGGGTAGATTTGGAGATTCGGTTCTCTCCTTCGACGCCGCCTCATTTCCCGGTAAGCCGATATGCGCTCGGTTGTCGGCGCAGGTCAGATGTCTAGGAACCCCGATTTTTCTCGGTAATCCGACTTCTCACCCGGCGAATGCCGTTCCTGCGCAGATTGGCCCCCACGTCGATCAATGGCCGAGAGGACAACGGCGTCGGATTCCCGGCCGAGTACAATGGTACCGGGTTGGCGGTAATCTTAGGTAATCAACCAATTCCGTCGCGAATCCCATAACTGAGCTTTACTAGGTCCGCCATAACAAGCGTCACGCCTCGCAGAGGGACGCACAAATCTAATCATTACGGACAAGATCCATTATTGTTTTCTTTGCCGGCATACTTTTGATGAACGCCATGGGATTTTCAAGTCAGCCAAACGGACACTCACCCGCCACGTCCAGGTCCACCGCGAACGGCCAATCGGAGTACACGAACGGTCATGGGTCCGCCGCCACCACCAATGGTCAGGGCAGAGCTCCCAAGCCTCTGGTTGAGCCCATCGCCCTTTGCGGCATGGGACTGCGACTCCCGGGCGCAGTCAACGATGCCCAGGCCTTCTGGGACCTACTCCAAAACAAGCGGAATGGGCGATGCAAGGTACCAACGACGCGTTACGACGTCGACAACTGGTATGGCCCTGGAAAGTCCGGCCACGTCAGCTCCAAGTTTGGCTATTTCCTCGACCATGTCGACCTCGCCAACATGGATACGTCTTTTTGGTCGGCGACAAAGGACGAGTGCGCTTCGATGGACCCTCAGCAACGACTCCTGCTCGAGGTCGTGTACGAGGCGTTGCAGACGGCCGGGCAAAGGTCGACGGACCTACGTGGCCGCAAGGTCGGCGTCTTTGTCGGCAGTTTCGAGGGGGACTGGTTGGAGTTGGACCAGCGCGATGTCGAAAATTTCAGTCGCCATCGGCAGTCCGGCTCAGGTGACTACATGGCGGCAAACCGCATACACTATGAATTCGGCTTCATGGGTCCCAGGTATGATGACTCCCGACTTTTCTAGAATTTTTCACACGAAAAAGCCCGGCGGCGGTGGCGTCAAGCCTCGCAGAGGGACGCACAAATCCAATCATTACGTGACTGCCGACGTGTTTCCAGGACGCGGAAGCGTCATCAGTCGCTAAACCGGAGGACTGACCAAATTTCTATACAGTGCCGTCATTCGCAGTGCGTGTTCCAGCTCCATGATCGCTCTCCACGATGCATGCACTGCCATTAATGCCGGAGAGTGCGAAGCCGCCATTGTCGGATGTTGCAATCTCATCCTTTCCCCGCGCATGACAGCCACAATGCAGGAGCTGGGTGTTTCGTCGCCGAGCGGCTACTGCCACACCTTTGACGCTGCCGCCGACGGCTATGCCCGGGGCGAGGCCGTGTCAGCTGTCTATCTGAAGAAGCTGAGCGATGCCCTCCGCGACGGCGACCCAGTCCGGTCTGTGATTCGGTCTACCTGCCTCAACGCCGGGGGAAGGTCCTCGACGCTGTCGGCGCCCGTTGCGGCCGCTCATGAGGCCCTGATTCGCCGCTGTCATGAGCTGGCTGGCATAAGCGACTTTTCGAGGACGGCCATGATGGAGTGTCACGGAACGGGCACCCCTGTCGGCGATCCTATTGAGGTTCAGGCCGTTGCAAACGTCTTTGGCGAGCATGGAATCTATATAGGATCGGTGAGTCCCCCGGGCCCTTTTCCTCTTCAGGCTGTGCCCGCCGAGTACTGATATGGAATAATCCACGGCAGGTCAAAACCAACCTCGGACATGGCGAAGGCGCCTCGGGGCTGTCCAGCCTTGTGAAAATGACGCTTGCCCTCGAGAACAAGACGATCCCGGCCAACCTCAACTTCAACACCCCGAATCCCAACAGTACGTTCTGAATGATTAGAATCCTGCGTGGGTTAAACAATGACTAATGTTTTGAAAGTACCATTCGAGTCGTGCAAGCTCAGGGTGCCAACTGAGCCTATGCCGTGGCCCAAAGACCGGGACTTTGTTGTTGGCATAAACAGCTTTGGTGTCGGTGGATCCAATGCCCATGCTCTCCTTGGGTCGGCGGCCTCTTTTGGAGCTGGTCTGGCCGAGGAATCCGCGTCCGAGAAGACCACGGTCTCTTCGAAGCCCGCATTGCTCCTGTTCTCGGCAAAGCACCCCAATGCACTCAAGGCGATGATTGAGAGCCAGCAGGCATATCACCTCGCCCACCCGAATCGGCTTGGCAACGTGAGCTACTCCCTCGCCATGAAGCGGGACGCCTTCGACCATCGCGCCTTTGCCGTAACCGATGGGTTGGACGACTGGACTGCCAAGTTTTCAACGCGAACTGCCCCTCCTCGCGAACCGCAAACGCTTGTCTTTGTTTTCAGTGGCCAGGGCGCCCAATGGGCCCAAATGGGCAAGGAACTCATCCAGGTCTACCCAAGCTTCGAGGAGAGCATCAAGGCCCTGGACAGGCACCTGCACACGCTCGAGGACGACGGACCGAGTTGGTCGCTGCTGGAGGAGCTTTTGCGAGGGAAGAAGACAAGCCGTTTGTCCCAGGCAGAGTTCGCGCAGCCGTGCACCACGGCACTGCAGATTGCCCTGGTGGACCTGCTGCGACAGTGCGGCCTCACGCCGGACGCCGTCGTCGGCCATTCAAGTGGCGAGATCGCCGGCGCGTACGCCAGCGGCGCGTTGACGGCCCGCGAGGCCATCCTCGTGGCCTACTACCGAGGCCGGGCGATGCCGTGGGTGGAGAAGGCACTTGCAGTTGATGGTGTGCAGGGCGGCATGGCCGCGGTTGGGTTGGGGCCGGAGCAGGTCACGCCGTACCTTGCCAAGGGTGTTTTGGTCGGGTGTGAGAACAGCCCTGAAAGCACCACGCTCACGGGAGACAAGGACGTCCTCGACAGTGTCTTGCGCCGAGTCAAAGAGGCGTACCCGGATGTTCTTGTCCGCGAGCTGAAGGTGGATCGCGCATATCATTCTCACCACATGGGCATCGCCGCACCGCACTACCTGGCTGATCTCAAGGCCCGAGGCATCACGCCGCAAGCGCCTTCAGTCCCTTTCCATTCCAGTGTCACAGGCAAAGTTATCCGCAATGCCCAGGATCTTGGACCCCAGTATTGGATTGACAATCTCATCTCCCGCGTACGCTTTTCTACCGCCGTCGCCAGCGTCCTCTCGTCGTCTACTCGGCCGCCCAAGACGTTCGTCGAAGTCGGTCCGCACTCGACACTCGCCGGCCCACTCCGACAGATTCTCCAATCAGCGAATTCGCAAGCCGACTACGTCAACGTCATGAAGCGCGGCCAGGACGCGAGCAGGGCTTTCCTCCAGGCCATGGGCGAGTTGTGGAGCCTCCACGTGCCACTGAATCTCGCCGCCATCATTGACAAGGGCGAGTTTCTGACCGACCTTCCGCTGTATCCGTGGCACTATGAGGAGCCGTTGTGGGCCGAGAGTCGCCTCTCGAAGGACTACCGGTTTCGAAAATTCCCCCATCATGAGCTTCTCGGCTCCCGCGTCGTCGAGAGCACCGACCACAGCCCGAGCTGGCGGAACGTCCTACGCCTGGAGAGCGTGCCATGGATCGGAGACCACGAGGTCTTCGGCGACGTCATCCTTCCGGGTGTTGGCTACGTGGCTATGGCGGGCGAGGCGATTCGGCAGCTGACGGGCGCGCCCGACTTCTCAGTTCAACGTGTGCATATCAAGGTGGCCTTGGCCTTGAAACACGACTCTGCAGTCGAGCTCGTCACGCAGCTGGACAGGGTGGCGCTTACAAACTCGCTCGACGCTGCGTGGTACAACTTCAGCATCTCCAGCCACCGAAAAGCGCCCGATGGTGGCGCTGGCGCTGGCGCGTGGGTCAAGCACGCCTTTGGCCAGGTTCGTGCCGGCTCCGAGTTCCAGCCAGGTTCGCCGCCAGACGTGCGACCGCTCCAGAGGGTTGTTTCTGAGAAAGGCTGGTACCGCAAGTTCCGCGCTGCGGGTTTGGACTACGGGCCCCGGTTCCAAGGCCTCGCTAACACTACAGCCCATCCGCCGGCGCCAGAGCTTGTGGCGGCCATCACCAACGACGTTCGCCTCGCCGAGTCGTACTACCCCGTCCATCCCGCCGCCCTGGACTGTCTGGCCCAGGCACTCGTTCTTGCCTTGTGCGGCGGCCTGACGAGGAATCTCGCCCACATGGCTGTGCCCACCTACATTGATGAGCTCTACTGCCGGCCTCCTGCGACCGAAGACATGGCCATTCGCGTGCGCGCTACCGAGCGTAGGAGGAATGCCTACACGGGCGACATGACAGCCGTCTCTGACGGACAGGTTGTCGTTCAAGCCAGAGGGTTCCGCTTGACCGTGGTGGACAATAACGACACTGAGGCCGAGGGTCCAAGCAGCAGCGGCGCGAGATTCCGCCACGGTGCCGTCCAGCTCGAGTGGAAGCCGGACATCAACTTCGCCGACGTTGACAGGCTGTTCTCCCCAGATTTGCCGCCCGACCAAGACTTTGAGATGCTGGACCGATACCTTGCGCTGTGCGCCATCGAAGTGGCCGAGCGTGTGCGAAACATTGAGCCGGCCCAGGACCACATGGCACTCTTCTCGGCATGGACGACAAAGTTCGCCGCCGGCACGCAACTCGATGGCCTGTTTGGGGTTGAAGAGAATCACATTCTGCGCGAGGACGGCGACCGCCGGAAGGAGGTGATGGACATGCTGTACTCGCAGCTCATGGACTGCGGAACACGCGCAGCCGCCGAGGCGCTTGGCAGAATTGTCGAGGCCAGCGAAGCCCTCATGCGCGGCACCACCGACGGTCTTGGTGTCCTGATGGACGGCAAGCTGCTGCACGACGTCTACGACGGTATGCAGCTGACAGACATGACGGCCTTCCTCGACCTGGTTGCGCACAAGAAGCCCAACCTGCGAGTGCTCGAGATTGGCGCCGGCACGGGCGGCACCACGGCCAAAGTCTTGCCAGCTCTGCAGTCTGCATACGGCGAACGCATGTATCTCTCCTACACCTACACCGACATATCTCCGGGCTTCTTTCCGCCTGCCCAAGAGCGATTCCACGAATCCCCGGGCATCGAGTATCGCGTACTGGACATTTCGCAGGACCCGACTGAGCAGGGCTTCGAGGCCGACCTGGAGAGTTACGATCTTGTCATTGCTACCAACGTCCTTCACGCCACGCCGCGTATCCAAGACACGCTGCGCAATGTCCGTAAGCTTGTCCATCCTCGCGGGCGGCTGTTCCTGCAAGAGCTGTCTCCCGTCAGCAAGTGGCCCAACATGATCATGGGCGTGTTGCCGGGATGGTGGCTTGGCGCCGACGACGACCGTCCGGAAGAGCCGTACATGGATGCACAGCGGTGGGACAGGGAGCTCACGAGTGCTGGGTTTTGCGGGGCTCAGACCGTCTTCTTTGACGGACGACTGTGCCTCAACATTGTCACGACGCCCGCAGCGCCAACAGATGTTGTTTCGAAGGAGCAGAAGCGAGCGAGAGTCATGCTGCTGGTCCCTGCTCAGGTCAGCGAGACGTCTGAGCCGCAAGTGCGTGCCGTCACCGCCCAGTTGCGGGGCGCCGGCTATCGCGTCAACGTTCACCATTTTGCACAAGCTGCGGCGGACCTTGACCTTGGGCCGGACGAGGATGTTGTCGCCCTGCTCGATGTGGACAAACCCTTCTTTCACGACCTGAACGAGGCAGGGCTCCGCGCCTTTCAAGGCTTTGTTGCCCATGCCAAGGAGCGCCGGTGTGGCATTCTTTGGGTGACGGGTGGGAGCCAGGCCGGCTGCACCGACCCTCGCTACGCGCCCGTTGTGGGCGTGGCTAGAGTTCTGCGTCTCGAGCTTGGTGTGGACTTTGCCACGCTTGAAATGGGAGGGCACATACAGGACGGCGGCACTGGTATGGACAGCCATGGTGGCCTCGAGGTCGATGCACAGGCTGTGGCGCGTGTGCTGGACGAGTTTCGGCGCCGGGACAGGGGGGCCATCGAGACGGAGACGGATACGACCTGCGAGGCCGAATGGGTGTATTTGGCAGGTCACGTTCTGACGGGACGCTACCACTATCTCGACATAGACGCCGAACTCAAGAAGCCCCAGCCGTGCAGCGCCAGCGGCAGCATCGAGACGGCCATTTCTGTTCCGGAACGCGAGCAACAAAAGACGTACCTCAAGCTCGACACTTGGCGGCCAGGCTTGCTAGACGCATTGTACTGGAAACGACTGCCCGAAGAGGAGCTTGGGCCCGAAGAGGTGCGTGTAGAGGTTCGCGCAGTCGGGCTCAACTTCAAGGACGTCCTGGTCGCCATCGGCCTGGTGGCCGAGCCCGAAAAAATCGCCCGTGGCATGGGCTACGACTGCAGTGGCGTGGTCACGGCAGTGGGACCCAACGTCACCAAGCATCGCATCGGAGACCGCGTCGTCGTTTGCGAGAGCGGCACGTTTGCTACATCGCTCAATGTCTCGCAGCTTCTCTGTGTCGGAATGCCCGATGACATGTCGTTCGAAGAGGGTGCGACCATGCCTCTCGTCTTTGCGACGGCGTCGTATTGCTTACTGGACGCGGCATCGCTGACCAAGGACATGTCGGTCCTGATCCACGCGGCCGCGGGCGGCGTCGGCCTGGCTGCGATACAGCTGTGCAAGATGGTGGGCGCCGATATCTACTGTACGGTCGGCAGCGAGGACAAGGTGCGGCATCTCATGGAGCACTGCGACATTCCGCGTCATCACATATTCAACTCGCGCGACACAAGTTTCCTGCCTGGTCTGATGGCCATGACGGACGGACGCGGCGCCGATGTGGTCCTCAATTCGCTGTCGGGCGAGCTGCTGCACGCGTCATGGAAGTGTGTCGCCGAAGGTGGCACCTTTGTCGAGATCGGCCGGCGTGACTTTATCGGGCAGGCCAAGCTGGCCATGGAGCCATTCGAGTCTAACCGGTCTTTTATCGGCTTTGACTTGGGTGCTATGAGGATCCAACGGCCAGTTGTCATAGCTAGGTGAGTTACGGGAGAGACACTCTCACTCTGCTGGTCAAATATGCGGCTAACACGACGTCACAGGCTCTTGGATCGCATGATGGAGTTTGCCCGAGAGGGTCACATCAAGCCCCTGCTGCCGATGCGGACCTTTGATGCCGCTTACGTATCGGAGCCCATCAGGCTGATGCAAAAGGCGCAGCACATCGGCAAGATGGTCGTCACCATGCCTGCCAGTGCCGACGCTGAGCTGCCGTCCGAGGCCGCACATGAGCCGTTCCGTGCGCGCAGTGATGCCACGTACCTCCTGACAGGAGGTCTGGGTGGTCTCGGCCGGTCCGTCAGTACTTGGCTAGCCGAGCGGGGCGCTCGTCACTTTGTCTTCTTGTCCCGCTCGGCTGCAAAGCCCGAGCACGAGGCTTTCTTCCAGGAACTGGCCTGCCTTGGCTGCACAAGCATCGGGGTGTCAGGCGACTGCGCCAACTACGACGACGTCGTGCGGGCCGTCAAGGCCGCGGGCATGCCGATATGTGGTGTGCTCCATGCGTCCATGGTCCTAGAGGACAACAGCTTTTTGGACATGTCGTTTGACCAGTGGTCTGCTCCTTTCCAACCCAAAGTTAAAGGCGCATGGAATCTGCACAAGGCGCTCTCTTCCGAAAACCTTGACTTCTTCTTCCTCTTCAGCTCATTCGGCGCCATGTTTGGGCAATGGGGCCAGGCCAATTACTCTGCTGCCAACACCTTCGTCGACGCCTTCGTCTCGTACCGGCATTCGCTCGGCCTGCCCGCATCCACCATCAACATAGGCGTTATGGGCGACGTCGGTTGGGTGGCCGAGAACCCCGAGGCGCTCGAAAAGCTCCAGGCCGCCGCCTCTCACGTCAGTCAGGAGAGCGACTTTTTGGAGTGCGCCGAGCTGATGCTCATGCGACCCGGGCCCATGCAGCAGCAGGAGCAAAAGCGCTTTGTACAGCACTCGCAGATTGGCTTTGGCTTGCGCTCCACGCTGCCCATCGCGTCACCTAACAACCGCGTCGTCTTCCGCAAGGATCCCCGCCTACTGGTCTACCGCAACCTCGAGGCCGACGCGGGCTGGTCGTCGGCGCCGACGACGCATGGACAGGCGGGCGCGGACCCGGCCGACGAGGAGCTAACAAGATTCCTGCAAGGCGCCGCTGTCAATATGGCCGTCTTGCGCTCGGAGGAGGCGACGGCCTTAATTGCGCGGAACGTGGGCCGTACGCTGTTTGGCTTTATGCTGAGGCCCGAGGATGAGTTTGATGTGCACGCGCCGATGGCGGATGTGGGTATTGATAGCCTGGTGAGTATTGAGCTAAGGAACTGGATTAGGAAGAGGCTCGGGGTTGAGGTGAATGTGCTGGAGATTACGAGGGCGGGCAGCTTGCAAGAATTGGGAGGCTTGTTACAGACGAGGATGGTAGAAAAGTATCAGGCTAGGCGGTAGAGCAGGGACTGGTTTATTCGAGCCCTGCACCGAGAAAACGCATCGCGGAAGGGTATATAGCAGACTAGAAACCAAGGAAAGACCCCCCGCAATGAAGAAATGAACAAGCAGTCGAGAACGAGAACGCTACCTATGCAACAGACTGCCACCCATATATCTACATCCGCTGAAAATGCCATTCATAGGGTGCAGGTTATTGGATATGGCTAGGTTGGTCGAATATACGGCACCGATCCAAGCTTTAGGATCATAAGTCAAGTCGTTAGACTGAATTTCATCCCGAGTATTCAATTGTGTCCATCAAATCTGATCGCCGCAAACAGTCGTAGATGTGGTCGTCGGGTCGCGCAGCTGACGTCGGGCGGCAAACGCACAGACCACATTCAGGAGAGCGGCCGCCCCCACACGGTTTCCTGCTCAGCCTTGCGCGGTATGCGAGGTCTCGCTACCGGATGCGGGACGGGACGAAGGGATACCTCAGACGTTAATCCAAAAATTCACAAACGTTACCTTACGTAGACAAACACTCTCTATATAATGTTCCGTCGACAGAATCTCGAATCCTCTACTGTGACACGCATTCCAACATTCTCTTTTGGATTCGTCGAGTTCTCAACGTTGCACAAAGTGGCGTCAGGCAGAAAGGGGGCGGGTGAACATCGCACTCTCGTCTCAACTCACCGCTAACCTCATCCCTTCGTACCCGCACTCTCATCTCAACTTATCTCCAAGTTCATCACTAACCCTTCCCACTCAAAATCATAACTCCCAACCATGGCCTCACAATTCCACCAGTTCCCCTTCCTCCCCTTGAAACTCCAAACCCAGATCTGGAAGAGTCCTACTGCACATCACACAACACACGCGCCAACTTGCACTCTCTCTCTACCGGCAATGCTTCGCGTCAGGTGAAATGGAGGAGCAGGGGCTAGGACTTTGGCGCCAAGCAGTGGAAAGCTTCAAGAAGGAGTGGGAAGCGGATGGGTGTTAGGATGATCGGGAGGGTGGTGATGGTGGGGATTAGCGGAGAGCGTTCTTTGAGCTGGAGAAAGAAACTTTTAGTAAAGCAAGAGTGTTTCTGGCAAGTAAGGCTGAGATGGGAAAGCCGATGGTCCCGGTGAGGCGAAGGCGGGGCTTTGATAAGTTGAACAATAAGCTACCGAAATATTTTGGCAAGTGGCTCACCCGCGCGAAGGCAATTTGAGAATGGGAAACGGTTTGCGGAGAAAGTCAACGGTGGCCAGGGGATCTGGTATAGGCCGGGCTGTGATGTGCTTTTCTTGGAGAGTGGAACCATGAGACTATTGTCTGAGCTCGCAGTTACGCTGACGGGGCAGTGGACGATTGGGGATGTGAGAGCGTTGGCTATTGAGCATTTTTGGGAGTCGTGCGGGCCTTCGGAGTACAGGGAGGAGACGGAAGATATGCAGCCGGCTATGTTCCCCGCACTCGAGGAATTGACCATCGTCGTTTTAGATGCATACCTCACCTTTCGAGACCCTATGTATCCGAAGAGAAGAATCGAATACCCCGAAGATGTAGTTGAGAGATTGGAAGCACAATGTCACCTTCTAACTTTGAAGAAGCTGCAAAAGAACTCCACTTTCATGAAAATGCCAGTTGTGAAGGTAATGAGGAATGACAAATTGTTCCAGGGAACTGGCGAATCCTCAGGGCAGAGCGGTGTGGAATGGGTGCGGGCTGGGTCATAGAGGGGATTATTCCCTGCGATATGAGAGACCCTGCGTAACATATTCCTGAATCCTGATGCTGGAGCAGATTCACATTTCGTGCCACTTCCTTTCAGACGTCCAGCACATCTGCCTCCACCCCACCACCATATGGCCTTTGGAGCTTGCCAGATTCTTGGCCGGGCTTCCTCGACAGTCCTCCGCAGCAAGCGAGATCCCACGTTCGCCAGAGCAGAATGCTGCTGTTCGGAGACGGGCTAAAAGAGTTTTGTGGCAAGAACTTCGTTTTACGCAGGGTAAAGATATTGGTCGTGTATGTCCTCAGCTCTTATAAAGATTCAAAAAGAGGAAGAAGTCTACATACCCTTATTGTTGGATGTCTCTAGAGTTTCACGGCTTTAACTAACGTGATATTCATAGTTTAAGTCCTATATGCACTAATATTTTGGCTTGTTCTCAATCACATACCCAAATTATATTGTGGTAGCTCGAAGCCGAATACCTTGGCTAGATAGACATCTTCTATATTACCCTTAGGACATGCGAGATGATATAAGTGAAGATGCTAAGGGGATTTTCGCCTGGCATTAGAAGAAGCGCGTTAAGGCGGTTAATCAGGAGAATGGGAAGCCAAAACGCACGCATAGTCCTTAACCGCCCATAAACCCTGGTCTCAGGCGGCCGATACTCGTAAAGGACAAACAGGAGCTACTACTACTGAAACATGTCGATTCGCATGCAACAGACAGTGTGAAAGAGATTATTTCTGCGGCTATCGATAACGACAAGACTTCTCTCCGAAACAATTATTACTAAGAAGACATATGGAAATGGAATTTCCAAAGTCTATGGATTCATGACGGCAAGCTATGTATCGAGGTCTCAGAAGATGAACTAGCCGCTCTAGTAATTATTCTGGCTATCCCACTCCGTTATAGTGAATAGGATTCTCTGCCGAGCGGCCCTAATGCTTTTAGCCCATGTCTTATAACTATAAACCATAGTTACTTAACAAGGCTCAAGCTTGTATACGGCCGTCTTTATTCGCTATCACTGAAACACTGGAAGTGGCTACTTAATCCTGTTTACGAAATACATAGGCTATAATTGTCTTCTATTTGCTCACGGATTAGTCCTATCCATAGCTCTAAACGAGATCGGGTATAAGCTTGAAGTTTTCCACGCGGTCCACGTCACAGCAGAAGTCCTGTCCCTTATTAAATAAGGGAGGACTATATGGACAGGTCCTTGGGGCGCTAGCTTCTTTATAGCTTCCTCAAAGTACCTGCTTAGGCTATCATCTTTTGCGTGGCCTTACCTCTATGACTCCGGCAATTTGGAACAAGATGAGAAGTTCTTAGAGTATTGGAATTCTAGGTGCCTTAGGCCGCTATAAAAGGTGGCAAAATGGCCACTGTAGCCACGCTAAAGCTACAGCTGAGCAAGGCCTGAAGGAGTCCTGTAAAGCTGAGGCTTTACAGGGTACTAGGCTCTATATACTTGCCACCGGAGTAGCCGATGCAACTGAAGCGTTCAGCTATACAGGGAGTAAGGCCTGTGTCACAGCATGTGACTCAGGGACTTAAGGGGCACTTAGCACCTATAAGTACAGGCTACCTACTACTGTAGAACAGCAGTCAATTCAGTCCTTTCAATACTGGTTATATATTATATGTTGCACGTGATCCCTAGCCTGTGAAATCCCAATATAGTGTGACGAAGGCCTTTAGGACAGTAATATCAAGACAGTACTCTTCATTCTTAGGACAATAGATACAGAAGAAGGACAGCGAGAGCTGGCAAGAACTGACCCCTATATCCTCATGCCCGAAACACTAGTGCGACAACACGTGACGGACTCCAACTCCGTCACACATAGAGGAAGAAAAAAAGTTCCCACGGGAAGAAAGAAAGTCGGGTTCTATCTATAAAACAGAGGGCGAAGAATACCGATTAACGGGTAGCTAGACGAATGCTATGGCAGGGATAGCTCTTAGGGGGCTAGTACTAATAGCAGTAAAGCTACTCATTAACGCCGTGAAATTCACTATTAGTGGAGGAATCGATATATTAGATCTTGATATACTCGAGCAGTTAGTTAATAAAGTATAATAAGGAGATCAGCGGAAGCGATACCGGTAGACAGTTATTTGGGTTTATACGCTTAATCCTGAGCGACTTAATAGCGAACCGAGACAAGATGGATCCAGGCATTAGCTTGAAAAATCGGGACAGGATTACAGATATTATCCAAGTACTTATTCAATATAATACCCTCCTCGAGCGTTTAATAGCTATGCTTCTATTAACGGAGACGGATCCACTAGCCAGAGTATTTGAAGTACTTTGCATTAGGATATATCTTTCCTATACGGAGGCTTGCTCGGCAGAAAAAAAGAGACAGGAGGAGGAGTAACAAGAGAATGGGAAACAAGAGAAAGAGAAGCAGGACCCGTAGAAAGACAGAATAGAGAAGATCTAGCTAAGCAATAACAAGGATAAGAACAAGGACACGGAGAAAGGGAACTATGAACCGAAGCAGACCTTAAATAAAACAAAAGCAGAGCCAAGAAAAAACGCTCTAACGGACGTTCGAGATAATGTTCTTGACTCTGCACTATAGCAGCCTATGCCGGAAGACTGTGCGACTATAGTTGAGTATATCATTAAAGCCTGGACTTGTATTACTAAAGTAGTCGACTAGCGCGAACCTAGAGATAAGCCGGACAAGTCACTAGGGAAGGAGGATGAGGAGCACATATATACGCCAGTTCCGTTTGTAAACCTTCCAGATGTGTCATTGTGGGAGTAAGGAAGTCTGAAGTGGCTTGGAAGTATTAATGAGTAGCGTTATAGTATAAGAAGCCAAATTTCCCTTTACAGAAAATTATCATTAGCAAGCAAAAGATCGTAAATCGGGTTTCTCTGAACATATCACTATGGAACTACACAGGAATTACGGTACTACTAATCGGCAATTCCAACATCACTGCTGAAAGAACAATGAGTTGCATGTCTATTCTAGTCTCAAACGTTCTCTGAGCAGTTTCAGAAACAAACACGGTACGGGAGTACTTGAACCGTCTGGAGTATAATGTCGTCCCACATAGATGATGTAAACTGCGGAGGGATGGTACTAGCGTGAAGTTTGATGGTCTACCAGGACATCCAGAGAAGAGCGTTTCTTATTTATGTTCATGCTGTTTATGCGTAATGTTCGTTGATATCGAATTAATTAATAGTTACAAGGGGTTACTAGTGTTGATCTTTGATTTTCGGGAGTAGGGCTTAGTAAGTTAAATGAACAGGGTACTTAGTGGATAATTGACCTTATTTTAGACACAGCCCATCGCTCTCGCGTTTCAATAAAGACATCCTTAGTTCTAACTGCCTTGGTACACATGCCCGGCTTTCCTTCGAACTTTTGAACCTGCAGGTCTTGAGAATACTTCACTCTGCTCGTTTTGTGTTTTCAGAAGCTTCTCATGAATCCTTGCTGCTTCCTCTTAAGCAAACCTTGGGAAACGGAAGCCCGAAAACGCCAATCTCAACTATCATGATTTGGTTTAGACATTGGCACGCCTCCCTTTTAACAACTGCATCCTGTTTTGAATAAATCAAAAGTTTACGGCGACATTCACACAGGGCTTAGTCCCTCGAAACGATAGCAGCCAAGTTGTATCTCGCGCATGGGTGCTCTGTCATATGCCAGAAGAAGCAGTGGGGTGAAGATGCAACGCATGATGATTTCACGACGCCCAATGACTCCCGATAATAGACCCCCACATTCAAGTTAAATTATATATTGCTCTTTACTTTTTGTAGGGTTCACTTCTGACAGCCCTGCCAGTTGCAGATCTATAACAGGCTTTAGCCACCCGACAGCCACCTTTCTCAACCTGGGCTAACCACAGCTAGTTCAAATAACACGGCAAAGTCGGAGAAGTCGTCTTATAATCTGTCATGCATTTCTTAGGATTTTATTTAGATATTAATAATACATTAATGTTTAACTAACGACCTCGAAATCCTTCAGGAAATGTCTTCCAAGGCATATTATGCGATCAGCCGGTATTTGTTCGTAATTTATAAATACAAAACACCTGCTTATGCCGTAAGGGTTCCAGAAGCGTAATCGTCGCTTCTAAGAACCTGCACTACGTCGATCCTCGGCTTTTATCTCATGTCACCCCGTAGAATATCCGTGATTACTATCTAAGGGTTTTCTGGTAATAGGGGAGATGAGATACACTCCGTACGTGGTTACCTGAATATCTATGTCTGTGCGAAGAAAAAGCAGAGGCTTGAATCACGGGAAAAAGAATCAGAGGCAGAGTTTAACCGATTAGCCTCTAGTATATCACGCGCGCGGTGCTTCACGGAGGCTGGATTCAGGGGCTCGCTTAACCGATTCCCCGCACCAAAACACGTCCCGCACCAAAACACGCTCTAGCAATATTTCAAAATCTTAATAATTAAATAACCACAAATCCTTTTAACTTCATTTTTAGAATATAGAGACTATAGATATAATCGAGTAAGTTACTAAAATTATAATAATAATCTTCTTATAATTAAAAAGTTATTATTATTATATGAATTTTTTCTGAAATTATAAATTTTTAATATAGTTTTATAATAAATATATAAAATATTATATAATTACATAAATTGTACTTTATTTAATAATATTAGTTATAATATATAAAGAGTTTTTAATAAAAAGTATTATTTATAAAATATAATTAAATAGACTATTTATAAATAAACTTATTAATTATTTTATAAACATTATATATATATAAAAGTAACTTATAACTATATTCTTATTATAAAAGCCTTTATATATAATTTTTTAATTTTTTAAAATCTATATTATTTACTCTAATACAGAATTTAATAAAGGTTTAAGTTATCTATAATTATATATAATAATTATACTATTTTAGGCTTATATTATATATAAACTCCTATTATTAACTATTCTTTAAATAATACTTATATTATGGTTTTATTTAATAATTATACTTTTTAATATATAAATTCTTTTAATTATTATTAATTATTAAAAGAATTTATAAGATTAAGATTAATATTTTAATATAAATAAGGTTATATTATATAGCTAAATTAGAAAAAACTAATAACTTTATATATTTATTAATATAAAGCTCTTAAATTAAGTATTTTTATATTTTAAATATGAATATATATATATAATTTTTATATATTATAAATAATTTTAAATTTTAAATTAAAGTTCAAAAATTTAAAAAATTTAAATCTTTAAATTATAATTTTCTTTTAAAAGTTAAAATTATATAAACTATTAATATATCTCTTTAAACTATAATAGTATTAAAGTTATATTAATATTTATATAGTTTTAAAAGAATTATTAAAAGCTTATTATATTATAAAATAATAAGTATTCTTACTAAATATTATTAAAAGTGAATTTAATATATAAAATGGTTCTTATATACGAAAATTTAGATTATTATATAAAGTAAGTATTCTTTATTTAAAGTTAAAAGTAAGAGTTAAGAAAATTTAAATATTTAATATTTAATTTATAATTATACTTTAAAAGATAAAATTATGTAAAATATTAATATATTTCCTGAAAATATTATAATAAGATAGTAATTTTATAATAGTTTTAACTTATAATAATATATAATATAAAACTTATATTAAAATTTTATAGAATTTAATATAATTATTAAAGGTTTATTATATTAATAAATATTAGGTATTTTTACTATATATTATTAAAAGTAAGGGTTATATACTAAGGGGATCTTATATATAAAAAATTAGACTTTTATATAAGGTAGTTGTGTTTTAATAAGTTAAAATATTTTTATTACACGCGTGTTTTTGCTAGGGAATCACGTTCTCGCTTAGCCTTACTCAGATAGCAACTTCTCGCTAGACAGAATTGATCAAGCTTCACAACACACTCAAGATTTCAGCATGCCCAGCAGTTTTGGTGCGGGACGTGTTTTGGCGCGGGACTTCGGTTAGCCTCTCCAGGTTTCGGAGACGTCCCACGCCCTGGAAGCGTAGCGCATGGAGTGGAGATCATGTTATAAGTGCTTATAGAACCAAATGTTACATGATAAGGGACCGCACACTACCGTGGTATCGGACGAATATGCAGTATCATATACCCAAGCTCACATAACCAGTACACGGCCTGGCATTGAGCATAATCTCGTTATAAAGCATTATTATATCCTTCATCCCGTAATCCGAGTGAGCTTTACAAGTTTGTTCCTTCTTTATATTGCATTGCGCTCGCTGGCCCGAGAATGGTCTGCGAATAATCTCATATATTTTTTAATCATGAAATACACTCTTTTTTAGCTGGTGGTGCTATATGCGGCGCTAATATCGGGCTTGGGTGACGGTGGGCGAGGACGTGGTCTTGGCGTTATTGATGCAGGAAAAAGACCTGTGTCTGGATCATCAACAGACCAGTTCCCAACTTGCGCAGTAAGATATCCCGTGAATTCCTTGAGACACTTTATTAACGATGATTTAGAGCGAGTGCTTTCAGAAATTTCACACACTCGGCGGAGTCTGCGGTACCAACGATGCTACTTGTATATATAAAAACGCGAAGGTGCAGACGGGAACAAACTACTGTATCGCGAGCACCTGCAATTCGGTGGACCAGGCAAAAGCACGGCAGTTCGTCCAAGGATAGTGTGCTCAGTTCGGGGTAGTAAATGCAGGCGTATGCCCCGCAGACACAGCAGCACCCGAATCGGTCACGACATCAATAGCACCTATCACCCCCGCGGTGCCAGTGTCAGTCACCACAGCAGCAACGTTAACCTCGATCCAGTTTACGACCTCGGTTTTAACCACCAATTCTTTGGTAGTTGTTACGTCAGTCGAAACCGACTCTAGTACAGCAGGGGCAGCAGCCGCCACCTCCACTGTTGTCAGTTCAGTAACGACGCAGGAGCTGCTTACTACGGTATTAAGCAGTATAAACGTGGAAGTCACGGATACCCCGACATTAATTTTCTCAGATTCAGTATTAACGCCCAGCACCGCGTCCGCCACACTAACGGGTCTTTTCATAGGCTCATCACCTCCTACTATTCAAAATAATAAGTCCGGAATTTCATCTGGGGCGAAAGCTGTAGTTACAATTTTAGCGCTATCGGCCATTATATTCTTGACTATAATCCTACTCTACTTTTAGAGGCGACGGAGACAGCAAATTCTGGAAAGGGAGTTTCAGGAGCTAAAGGAAACTCATCAGTCAAGTATAGCAAGGCCTACTTCGAAGGTAGTGCCGTTATATCCTCGAGGTCTTGTGACGGCAGGAAGTAGCTATCGCGATATGTTTAATAAACCAGATGATAATGGATAATGACCAAGATCATATTATATAGTACCTAGGTAGATTACTAATATATTTACATAATACCACTTCAATCCAAATCGGAACCACACTAAGAGCTTCCAGTAGTGCGCTCCTTTTTGGTTTATTAGCGAGTCACTCTTTGGCGAAGGTAAACTTCAGGAGTCGAGCTCTCGGCTGTGCTCTCCGACCCAGGCCATCGAAACAGGGATGATGCATTTGCGGGGGGGTGGCTGCATAATTATCAGCGGACGATAAAGTCCATGCACTCCTCAAATTCTGGGGTTAAATGCGACGGTGTGGTTCCGTGCTCATCAACCTTAAACCTGGGACGGAGGAGCAGACGAGAATCGCGTGCTCGGTATTTCTGGTGCACTTCGAGTTTCTCCTCACCTAGTTTTAGAGCTGAGGTCTTATCCTATCATCATCATCTTCTCGCTTGGACAAAGAGGCAGCACATGTACTTGACACGAGGGTATCCTCGCCTGGAGATACCTTTGTTGGCACAGCGTAAATACGCAAATACAAATACAATCAACATAATACTCAACTTTTCAAAACTTGGAACCTAGGGTCATCTTTCTCTCGTATATCAGCAGTGTCAGCTCACCTTGAAGCATGTCTCCCCGTAAAACAGGCAAAAACAAGTGTTCTCTCCTCGTGTGCTTCAAATACGCTGAACATGGCCCTTCAACCAGTGAAATTGCCTCCATTCTACCTCGAAACCCGGTAATTTCTCCTCCCGCATGCTCTTTCACCCTATTAACATGTTTTCCATGCACATTTGCCTTCTTATTCGTTACCCAAAAATTACAATATCTCTATGCTTGTCTGCAAACTTCGTTTTCAGAACATTATAGCGGAATTGAGCACCGGAGTGAATCGAAACAGAGCCTTAGTTACCGGGCCCCGACGTATATTTAAAATTTATCACCCCCTATGACCGCGTAGCCAATCCACATAGTACACCATTTTTGGAGAAGGGGTACCAGCAGCTTAACGATGTCCTCGAATCGACCTGGATTTGACATATCTGCAATCCGTTAGCATGACTTAATAAGAGATCATAAGCTGAAAAAACCTATAATGGAAGTTCATACCAGCATTGCCGTCATGCCTAATCCAATCCCCACTAGCAGCTGCAACTATCTCTGGAGCTCCCACAGTAAAACTTTGAAGCCCACACATTGCAAGAGCACTTCAAGATCAAGAATAGATCTCAATTGTTGGAAATTGTATAACGTCACGGCGGAGCGACTGGTAACCAAGTTACATCACGCCATCCAAAATGATGAACAACAAAATGTTGACTTTCTCACAGCTGTTTTATCGCTCCCACAGGAACCTCTGAGCCAACGATTAGACCACAATGCACCATACAACTCTCAACACACTTCTTCAACACCTCATCTTGGTCTGTCACGGGTTCGTACCCGAGAACAGTCTTCGCCTTGCCAATCTTCCACGCGACGCTTTTCTTGAAATGATCCATATCCAGCCTTCTCAATTCCGGCTTCCTCGTCCCCAAACTAAATACACCCACTCCAGTGTACTCGCCAACTGAGCCATAAACCACAGCGGCATGACCTTGATCTCGTCATTCGCAACAGGATGACCGGCCGACGCATATACTTTCCTTGCGAATTCGAAAAATGGCATGCTAATGCCATCTGAAATAAAGAATGCTTCTCCGTTAACTTTCTTCGTTGCAGGTTTAGAAGTGAGTTCTCCAAGCAATGCCTTCGCGGCAAGGATATGTGCTTCTACCACCTTGCCATCGTAGCAGAACTCATACTTCAGCTTATCATCCCCAAGCTGAACATGCTATTGGCCTTTCTTCAAATTCTCAAGCAGTGCGCCGATCATTTTGTCATCGCCGTCCCCATACACAACTGGGATGCGCAGGACGGCTGTGAGGAGTTCACTTGGGTTGTTCGCGGCGAGGACTTCACGGTCGCCGATACCTTTCGTCTTCGAGTACATGTCGATCTTGCTATGCTCGTCCTGGAGCTTTGCGGTTTCCTCCGTTTGCACAACTCCTGGAGCAGCTGGGACAATAGCTGAGTTTGAAGATGTATAAACGAGTGCTTTGACGGATGAGCATTTTGCGGCGCATTGGAGCAGAACTCGAGTCCCGATGACGTTGGTGTGCCAAAGTTCCTTGTCGGGCGCTAGGTAGTCAGGTGAGGCACAGTGGAAGATTACTGTTGGCTTCACTTCCTGGAGGACTGCTGCTACTTGTTCGGCGTTGGTGAGATTTGCTGGATGGTATTTTGCATTGGTGTGGAGGTTGGAAGTTGGATTTCGGCTCACGACGTGGACGGAGGAGGTTGGGTTTGAGAGGAGGGCTTTGACAAGTCTGGAGCCAATTCGGCCGCATCCGCCTGTCACAAGCACGGTCCCGAGAGAATCTGGGGAGTCCATTGGAGAGATGGCTGGATTTCCAAAACTGTGGAAAATGATATTAACCAAGAGCACAAAATGGACTTCTTCTGCTGAATTTCGAACTTTCGGCTGGGAGAGATGACTCGAAAGAGTTCATGCACAAAATGGCAAATCGCATCTTCAAGTACCAGCATCCAAATATTTTAAATATGGCGAGAACGACGCTTACCCCAATTTTTGCGGGGGTTGTAAACATCCCCGGTTCATCATCAGGCCAATAACAACACCCCTCTCGCAATTTTGGAGATGAATCAGCGGCTTACTTATGTTATTGCGAGACGAGCATTTTGATAGGTCAAGGTACCTACGGCGAGAGCGAAAGTTCACAACTTCAACGCAGCATATTTCGTTAGAAGCAATTCTGTATAGTCAATTCTGGAGATCTAGTAAGTGTTGTTCCCTCTGTGTCGGATTAAAAAGAAAGGAGAGCAGCGTAAAAAATGAGTTGAGTTGAGTTGAGTAGACGTACCTACTCAACTCAACTCAACTAAATCTAGACTCTACTCAAATTCAACTCAACTCAACTCAAATATAATTGAGTATAATTAAGTAGTGTTTATGTGATTTGCCACTTCCTAATTAGGTCTAGCTTAAGGCTCTACGAGTGGCGCTAAACCTTAAAATTAATCGAAGAGTATACTTTCTATTACTTCTATTAGGTATTCTAATAGAACTATACTATATATAGACTTACTAGAACCTTCTAGTAGTAGTTATATATAAAAGGTACTAGAATATCTATTTATAAGTAGAATATACTAGAAGTTAGATTAATAATTAAATAAAGTTCTAGTATATTCTATAGTATTCTAGTAACTTCTATACCTTCTTTCTATTATAAATCGTTCTATAGTATTATAAATTAAGATCTTATAGAAGGTTCTAGTAGACCTAAGGTTAGTATATAAGAGTATACTCCTCCCTTCGAGTTATTTCTTTCCTTTCTTTATAATAATCTTACTTTATATTCTATACTCTTACTTTACTCTCTATACTATTATATATCTATAACTATACTTATATATATATACTATATATAATGTCTTCGTCTATAAATACCTCGATTAGGCTAAATCGAATTCAAAATCACCCTGATTTTGAGTTAGAGCCTATAGAATAATAACCTATTATCTTTAAAAAGGGGTTATTTTCTAAGACTTTAGACTCTCCTAAAGATAATCCAGATCTACTAGAGAACTATCGAACTATTACGGTTAAGTGTTTATATCTTAATTGCTCGTAAGTAATCCCTTTATAATATATAATAATATTATATATAATATATACTAATATTTTAATAGAAAGAAGTACCTTAAATAAAGGGTTAATAACTCTACTTCTAATTATATCGCACACTATAAATCGCAACATAAGGCCTTTAATATAGGCCGTATACTTAGTGAACTAGATACTACTGGTAAGTTATATTTCTTTATAATATTATATATATATAAATATTTACTAATTAATTAATAGATAGTGAAAACGACTCTATGGATATAGGAGAGTCTTCCCAAGCTAGTATTACTAGTAGAACTAGTAATATTAGAGATATATTTGCTAGACAAAGATCTAGTAAACGACCTAAGACCCCCGAAGAGAAATTCGAAGAGCCTATATTTAATAAACTTTTATTAGACTTTATTATAAAGAATAATATATCGTTTAAGGCTGTCTCTTCTAAATCATTTAGAGAGTTATTAAACTACCTTAATAAGTAAGTAATTAGCTCTTAATATACTATATAATATACTAATAATTTAATAGGGACGTTTCTAAGGTTTATTACCAAAAGCTTAAGGATACCTTAGTATTTAATTATAAGGAAGCTAAGGCTTCTATTATTAAAGAGCTAGAGGATAATATTAAGTCTAATAGTACTTTTTCCCTTATCTTAGATGCTTGGACAGCTATAAATCAGGACGCCTATTTAGGTATTACTATGTAAGTACTCCTTATTTTATTACCTTTATTTAATATTATATTATATTATACTAATATTTAATAGACACTTTATAAATAAGAACTACGAGTTAAAGAGCTATTTACTAGCTATGAAAGACTTTAAGGATAAACACTCTGGAGCTTATTTATTAGAAGTCTTATTAGAGACTCTTAAAGACTATAATATTGAGTTTAATATTACTAGGTATATAACCCCTTTACTTTATATAAGAAAATATATACTAATATTTTATAGTATTACTAGAGATAACGCTAGCTCGAACGATACTCTATTAAAGGGCTTTATAGAGCACTATAATAAAGATAGTATTAAATTTCAAGGAGATATTCCTTGTCTAGCTCACGTACTAAACCTAGTAGTACAAGATATATTAAAGGTTATTATTAAAGACGATAGTGATATAAATAGCCAAGATATCTATAATATCGAAAATAACGCCGAAGAGGAAGTACTTCCTAATAGTAAGTCTCATATATTCTTATATTAAATTATTATTAAAATTATATACTAATTATTTAATAGATATTTCTCTTTGGAAAAAGATTAGAAAGATTATTATAAGTCTTAAATACGGACAAGATAATAGACGTATATTAAATCGACAAATAGAGGCTCTAGAGATTAAAGAACCTAGATTTCCATAACTAGGTAAGTACTTTATTACTTTATATTATAATATATTATACTAACTATTAAATAGATCAAAAGACTAGGTGGTCTAGTACTTATTATATGCTTAAATACTTCCTTAATCTTTGGCCCGCTATTAAATCGGTTATTAATATATCTGATTCTAAAGCCTTTAAAAAGAATAAGAATGTATTAAGCTTAACCGATTCTGATATAGCTTATATAGAGAAGTGTCTTAAGATATTCTCTATATTTATTAAAGCTACTACTAAGCTACAAGCCGAAAAGTATCCTACTATATACTATTTAGTTCCTGAAGTATATAAAATATATACTAGATTAGAGTCTATTAGAAATGAATTTAATGTAAGTCTATTACCCCCCCTTATATTATATATATATACTAACTTAATATTATAGTTACCTATATTTACTACAGCTATTAACTTAGGTATTGATAAGCTTAGAAAATACTTTCCTAAATAAGGGGTTAGTAATAAGAATAAAGCTTTATATCTATCTTTAATTCTAGACCCTAGAATTAAGAAAGACGGTTTAGAGGCTATAGGAATTATGGTAAATCAGACTACTAGTATCTATAATAGATTAAAGACTGATTTTGATTTATAAGTTTAACTCTTTATTATATTATATTAATACTAATATATTAATAGATATCGAGCCGACTATATACTAGCTAATCCTCCGGTTAACGAAGCTAATAACTTAGCTATAGATGACGAGGACGACCTAGATATCTATATAGAAGATATAATAGAAGAAGAGGATGAATTAACTAGATATTTAGGAGAGAGAAGAGCTCCTAGAGAAGTAAGTACCTTATTATATTATATTATATTATTATATATACTAACTACTTAATAGACTAAGCCTCTAACTTACTAGCTAGCTAATAAAGATAAATACCCAGTATTATCTTTAATAGCTAGAAAGTATCTACAAATTCCAGCTACTTCGGCTAGCTCTGAACGGTTCTTTAGTTAAGGAGCTAGAATTATTAATAAAGATAGAAATAGACTAAATAAGGATACTTTTGAGTATATTATTTGTCTAAAGAGTTGGGGGTTATTTAGAGAAGATAAGGAGGAGGTAATAGAGGAAGATAATAGGGAGAATATATTTGAAATTATTTAAGTAATATTATTTAGTTAGTAGTTTAGATAGTCTCCTATAGTTAAATACACACTCTTTTATTAAAATAAGTCCTAGGAATAGTTACTAAATAAGCTATTAAGTAAGGGACTTAGTATATATATATTATATATACCTACTCAAAAATATTCAGAGTAGACTCAGAGTACTTAAATTACCTACTCAACTCAACTCAAGACAAAGTACTACTCAAATTCAACTCAACTCAACTCAACTCAACTCAAATATAATTAAGTAGCTTGATTATCTTTGGTCACGCTGAAGGAGAGGGGCGGGAGGGCTTTGCAGGAGTTAAGCGAGAAACCCAGCATTCTCCTCATGGAACCAATACCTCAATGGAAGTTGGAAGGACTTTCCTCCTTGATCTTATTTATATCTTGATTATCTTATCCTTCACACGGCATCTTTTTGAACTTGAGTCTTTGGAAAGAGTAAGAAGGCTTGAGCAATTCAATCACGTGACACTGCATCAGGCTAAGCAGTGTTGAACTAGCTAAGTAATAAAGCTAGGGTCACGTGCTTGCAATGTAAACCAAGTAAACGATACTGAATTGACTGCTGTTCTACAGTGGTAAGTAGCCCGTATATATAGCCCTGAACCCCCTAAGTCACATGTACTAAATCCCTATGCCAGCTGAACCGATTACAGCTATACAGGGTATTCCAGCCGTACATGGTATTCCAGCTATACAGGGTATTCCAGCCGTACAGGGTATTCCAGCTATACAGGGTATTCCAGCTGGACAGGGTATTAAGCTAGTGCACAGCCCCATGGCGTTCGGTTCCAGGGCTTACTAAGCCTATTAGGGGCCTCAGGCCCCTAATTTCAACAAGCAGGCAACAGAGGGGGGGAGCAAAATTCCGCTCCCTGACGCCGGCGCATCCGTTACGCTGGCGTTGGAAAGGGAGCAGAAACTGGCTCCCAACGCTGGCGCCTTAGACTGCGGGGCTATTATTGACCGTATCGCCGTCCGTTATAACGACGAGGTGCTGCAACCATGTTGGAGTGTTTGGAGGAGCGATGAAAAGCAACTTTGTCGAATTGTTCTTGAGTGCCGGGGCTTCTATCAGTATCGGCAGATCTGGACAGACGCCTCTACACGATTTAGCGAGCGAATTTACAGCAGACGACTTCGATGACGGGGCGACACAATTACTTCAAGATGTGGGAGTGGACATAAATGAGATAGATAATGAAGGGCGGACTATGCTTGACATTGCCGCTAGACCAAGCATGCGGAGCAAAGGGTCTGAAGAGACGATTCGACGGTTAAAAGCTCTAGGTGCAAGAGCTAACAAGGTGTCACGGCCTGGACAAGCTGTGGAAGTGGAATGTGGGTGTGTTTGTGTAAAATATGTATGAAATAATGGTGCCCTAAGGGCGGTAAAGAAGCTATATATACGCCTGTACGCAGCACGTGACACAAGGGCTCATGAGAGATAATGTGGAAAGTGGCCTATTGATGCAGTGTTGGTTGAGAAAGACGTAGAAATCTAGATGCCGTTTGTGGAGGGTTCGGAGTAACCCGAAGAGGATTTCAGGGCAAACAGTGCAGAATTGGAGGCGCCTGGATTGAATTACAAAAATGGCTCGCCCGATTTAGGCTACCTCTAATACCAAGACGAAAATTTGCCAGTTATCGTGTTGTTGGTTCGCAGCTTCCTACAGTGGCTTGTTTAATCCATGTAGCTGCTCTGTGTTCCTCCGCAAATGGCCAGGGCAGTTGACGAGGAATGAGATGATGAGGCTCGTCATTGACCAATGAGAGCAGATGTCCAGATGACGGCCCTGCCAGAGAAGGTGCGACCGACCTCTTCACTGCCGATTCCGCCGCGAAGGACTCCCTGAAGCCTGCCCAATCTCCATCCTATGCAGGCAAACCGCTCGCTATGATCAGCTTTGGCGTGCTCCACTAAGCCGGAAAGCATAAGAATAAAGGCTGAATAATTACGTGCTCTGGCATGAGCTGTTACCCCCGGTTCGTCAATACGAGCGATTGCTTAATCGCCTGCTTAAGCGAACTCCGGTTTATAAATACGAAGTCGAATACGAGCAAATTTTTAAATTTTGGCCTTTATCCTTCATTAGAAAGTTATAAATTATTTTAAAATCGGGCTCTTTTATTAGCGAATCGGGCTCCTCGCTTAGGTCCGATTGATCAATCGCTCGTATTGACGAACCGGGGGGAACATATCGACTTGATGAATCGACGGCGCTGAGAGTTTCGAATTTCGAATGGCCACCAGTGATGGCTACCAACTCAATTATCAAAGAACCAGCGGCTTTTTTAAATTGTCCTTGTTACGTGCTAGAGCTTATAACGAAGCAGAGATACCGTAGCTAAGAAAATCAGGCTATGTCCGCCTAAACATGTGCCTGACTTTTGTTGAGAATTCAAAGCAAAAGTCACGTGCAATGCTTCTCAGATGACTGTCCATTTTGCAGTGATCTAAGGCCTATACTTATACACGTCCAAATAGCCCCTATTACCACCGAGAACCCCATGTTTAGCTGTAAACCCTTGTTTGGCTGAACAGTCAAACCAGCTGAACCTTAGCCATGCCTGCACAGCTGAACCGCCACTGGTAGCCTTAGGCACCAATTTCCAACAACTTTTTTCGTCCCCGCTCCAACCATGTGACTTACTTTGCAACGCACTGCTAAACTGACAGCCTCGTTCACCTTCTCGGCGGATTACACGATTTCTAGCAATGTATGATTATTTCATAGTAGGAAGCTAAGGCGAGCGTCCCCCGGCCTAAATAATGGCAGTGTTGCATTGAGCTCCGGATGGCCACTGTCTCCTACCGTATTATCTGGTGTATATGACCATGGTCTTATAGCCCGTTCCACACCCTAAGAATTCGCCAGGGAATGGTCTTAAGCCTAAGAGGGTCTAGTAATATGTCGATCCCACTAAAAACCGCTTAGTGTATGGTGTTGTGCTTACCCCCTTAATTCCTCACCCCTTTATTCCTCTCACCAATTCTCCCTCCTAAACTCCCACCCGCACCACCCACCAATTGCTCTTGATATTATGTACCCAATTGATTCCATATGGCTCCTGGAGTTGTGCCTGCCGTACGCCCATCTACCTCCCTTGAAAGGGGGCAAACCACCATCCAAATAGCCCTCAATAGTGGCCTAATATTCAAGCCTTCTCTATGTCCTGGGCCAGCTCCCAAACCTGTTGGTCAAGCTAATACTATACTTGGTAGACGTATAATTGGTAGTCCGAGAGAGAAAGAGGTTCAGGAGCTTTTTGCGGCTATTCGTCTTATATAAAGTGAGAATAGTAAACCAGGAGATATTAATATTATTCAGGGACGATTTCCTATAGTAGAAAAGGACGAGGAATTCGATTATATACTAATAAAGTAATATGCCTACTTACGGGAGCAAAAGTTAGCTACTATTAATTACTTTTAATTAATATAAAAAGAGAAGCAAGATAGTACCTATAAGTATCTCTCTAATTAATATATCTCCAAAAAGCTTAAAATTATATACAAGATACTTTGCTATTAGGTTATAAATAAGAAGGCAATTTAATCTCAAAAGAAAGGCTTTTTTAGGGGCAAATATAGCCATTCTCGTATATAGGAGCCTATAATAGAATAGTAATTAAATAGTGATTTTAAAGAGGCTAGAGAGAAAGAGAGAAAGATAATTTGCTATACTTAATAAATATATACCAAATTATACTCTAATTAAATTATTTACTATAAATATAGTAAGAAGACTTACCTGGGCTTTTAATTTTTCTCTGGCTAGTATAATGGGTTTAGAAAATAGTATGAAATTTCCTTAAGATATGAAATAAAGAAGGTATAAAAGTCTTTTAAGTAACTAGAGCCAGTTATTAAAAATCGAATATAATTCAATTATTAAATAATAATAATAATTAAGGGAAAGTTAATTATTAAAATATTATAAGGCCCTAATTACCTAGTTATTAGTCGAATTAAGCTATTAGAGATCTATAATATAGACTAATCTCTTATACTATTTAAGTATTTTTATAAATAAATATATACTAAAAAGGAATTAGTAATAGTTTATCTAAAAAAAGAGAAAGCTAGCTATAATTAATATTAATTTATATTATAAATTATAGTCTTTATAAATAGAATTCCTTACTATAAGCCTCTCTTAATTTTTAAAAGAAAGCCGGGAAAAGGGAATTCTTAATAGTAAATAAAGTATAAAAAGTATTATTCTAATATAGAAATAATTTTTAATAAAAAGGCTTAGGCTAATACTTCTAATTTCCTTAATTAGATTAAGAAATAATACTCTTATACCTTTATATATTTTCTTTATAAATAAAAACCTCGAATTCTTATTCTTAATTTCTTTAAATTATATATAAATAAGGAAAGAAAGAGAAATAAAAAGCCTGAATTAAAGAAAGCAAGAATTAAAAGAAAAATAAAAGAGAAATTATAATAAGAGCTCTATAACTTATTTAGTAAGTTAAAGGTTATATTATTAATTATTTCTGGAAATTATATAGGCTACCTTTAAGTTCTTAATATCTTAGTTAATAAGCTTATTAAGATATATATAGTAAAATAGAAAAATATTTGAATTAATTAGAATATAGAATTATATAAATCGGGAAAGTAGTTAGTTAGAGATTACTGGATCTATTATAATAAGGTAATATTATAGTAGTAATAAAGAGCTTAAATTAAGCTAAAGGCTATATACTATACTAAAAGTACTAGCTATATATTAAGTCACATATAGTAGTATTACGTAACTAGTATTATATAATAGGATCTTTATAACTTATTAGATTATATATATATAGGAAAGGATTTATAAGAAGTATAAAAAGGCTATTATTAAATACTTTTTAAATATTAGTTTAATATTACTTATTAATAGCTTATAAGATTATCTTTTAAAAGTATAAGACTTTCTATAGCTTATATATAGTAATTAGTAAAAGATACCAGAAAGAAATAAGGAGAATCCTATAATAGTTAATAAGGAGACTAGAGAAATAATTAAAATTAATAATAATAATTTAGGCTATTTATATATTATAAAGAAAATTATAGAAGGAATTATAATTAATATTACGGTTATTATAATATACGGTACTAGTAGGAGTTAGACTAGAGCTAGAGAGGTATCTAGTATCTAAGCAAGGTATCTATAGTTACCTAATTATTACACGTGACCCCGAGCTTAAGCTAGTATATAGGCCCGTATATAGCTTGCGATTATTTAGATCCGAGGCTCTTTCGGGATCCTCTTCTCTTTTTAGCTTTGAATTATTGAAATAGAGATAGTCTAATTATACCTTCCAGGCCCTAGATCTTATATTTGTAATATAATTCAAAGCTTATCTATTTCTTAATCCTGCGGAGGATTTAAATAATACTTATCTGATCGGTTTTTAATAAGTATAGATATAATATATTATGGCTATTCCCGAACTAGTTAACTAATATTAGAATAAAAGAAAGCCCTAGAATAACTAGGCAAGAAAGCCCTAGAATAACTAGGCAAGAAAGCCCTGGACTGGCCAGGCAAGTAAATAGGCTAGTAATCTTACTACTAAATAAAGATTTATAAGAAAGCAAGTCTCGGAATAACTAGGCAAGTTAGAAGAAGCTATAGTATAAGATACTACTAGTATATTACTAGAAGATAGACTAGAGTCTCTTATTAAGTCTCCTAAGGGATCTGAGTATTCCGTTAATATTTATAATAGAAAAGATACTTTTTTCCAGAAAGTAAAGAAAGAAAAGAAACCTATCTTATTAAAGGCAAAGTTTTAAGAATTACTTCGGAACTCAGAGGCTTTATATAAAGAGATTATTAAGCTAATTCTAAAGATATATAATATTCTTGCCTATAGCAAGAATTATCGGAATTAGCTAAGAGAAATTAAGCAAGCCCTATAAAAGAATAAAGCTATTATTAAGAAGCTTATTATATAGCCTACCGGGATAACTAGTTCCCCTATTCTAGAAAGTAGATATTTAGTTAAATTTCCTAACTTTTTTATTTTTAAAGGCATAACTAAGAATAGTATTACCTTTAATAATTAGTTAGTTTAGATTAAGAATAAGCTCCGTAGTAACTCTAATACCTATTAGATAAAGAACCTCAAGATTATTTATATATCCGGCTATATAAGTAGTTATGTTTTTATACTAATTTCTTCTTACCTAAATCAGGATAATTAATATATATACGAGACTATTAGGGAACTATATACTTATCTAGAGAAGCTATATAGTAACCCGAATAAGAAATATAATACTCGGCAAGTATTTAAAAAGCTATTTATAAAAAAGGGCCAGATTTTTTAGGAATTCTATATCCTATTTCTAAGGCATATAATAAATAGAAATATTAATTTATAAGACCTTAAGAATAACCTAAATAATAAGCTTACCTAGAAGCTCTAAAAGGCTATAGCTATATACTATAATAACCCGG